CTTCAGAGCCAGCATTACCCCAGGAGAAAACAACACTGAACAGAAACCACTGTGTGACGCAGCTTTTCTCAGCTTGTTTAACTCTGAAACTGAAGAGGAGGATTTTGATGGTTTCAGTGCGCCGGAGGACGATGAATGAGACATTTTGTTGGACCAGAAACTGTTAAAGAAAACTACCAAAATAAGGTCAGTTAAATGAACCGTATTCCTCCGAACTTTAATTCCTAAAGGTTTGCTTTTTATGTTTTGATGTTGAATTCACTTTTTTGATGGCAAATTTGGGTGTACTGTTTTTTTTTTTATGTTGGGGGTGCGGCTTATGGTCCGGTGCGGCTTATAGTCCGAAAAATACCGTAATCAGATTAAAAATATTAATCATTTGGACAGCATTATTTTTTTTCTATTTATTTATAGATTGTACTGTGAAGTTCAGATAGTGTTTAGGAAGTTCACTCAACATGTTTAATATCATGTTTTATGAAACAAGAAAAATTAGAAATGGTGAAAAGGTAAAGCTACAGATTTGTTTGCTTTTTGTGATCTGTGCTTTAAATAAATCTTACTTTGTTTATTATTCCTAATTTCCCTCTGGAATCAATAAAGTATTTTTGAATTGAATTACAAAACAGATTGATTTATTGCTTCTGTTTGTTGAAAAATACTTAAGACATTAAAAATAATAATTGCTTATTAAAAATCGCAATTTATAGATTAAAAAAAAATCGCATTTAACGGTAGATTATTTTCTAAAATCATTCAGTCCTAGTTTTAAGTGTCTTTCCTGCATTTCATGAGGTTCGTTTTAGGAAACTTTGTGCTAAAATAATAGTTTCAGATTTTGCAAGAAAGTAAAAATAATTTGCAAACAAACTTTAGTGCAGTAACTCAATGTTTTTTGTTCTGAATTAGAAAATTACGGTTTGAGCCACGTTAAAAATTCTGTTTAGAAAACGAATTGAGYCTGGAAGATTTGAAAAAGATTAAAAGTAAATTCCAGACTTTTCAGGACCGTGTGTGCGAGAGAGGAATTCAGCTTCTTCAGATCCGGTCCGGTTCTAACGAGCAGAACTCACCCAACTGGCTGCGGTGACTCCTCTCCTCCTCGGAGCGCAGGAACCGCTCCAGACTCTTCAGGTCCTCCATGTAGTCCTCTTTGCTCCCGGGCGAGCTGAACACAGAGGGAGACGTGCGGTACCGAGACCTCAAGCTAGAACCTTCTGCCGGTCCGATGCTGTTCGGATACGGAGAAGATCCTGAAGACTGGCTGTAGTTCAGCACCTGGAACGTTTTAGAAGCAACGTCAACTTTTTTGGTTTGTTTTGTAATCGGCTGCTTTCGCTGTTGAAATATAAGAAAAAAAACTGGCACCTTTCCAAAAGGCACCGAGGGGGAGTAAGGCCCCCCGGCGCCGCTCTGAGGGGATGAACCGCTGAGGGTGGGGCTGTAACTGGACGCGCAGCTGGGGGAGAACTTGGGGCTGCTGGAGACTGGCCGAGAGGGGCTGAAGCTCAGCACGCTCTGGCCCTGCAGAGGAGACGACTGGGCTGGAGCCGGGGTCTCCTTCTTTTCTGGTTTTTGKGGAGAAGAGGCCTGGACACCTGCAACAATTCATCAACATACACCCGTTAAACAAAATAAAATAACCAATTTGATATGTTAATAACACTTAAAAAGACCCACTTGTGTTCCTTAAACCCAGAAGGTGACGTTGCTCAGGGGTTACAGCAATCGTGGATGGAGCCATTGTGTATTTGAAATATTTCCAGAAGTCAAAGAGAGCGTTGAGACTAAAGAGAGAGGCGAGAACCAGTTCTGAAAACAAAACAAAAAAGCCCAGAATGAGACAAAAAATCAAATTAAGCTTCAATAACATTCCAATCATTTATTTAAAAACAACTGTCAGCTATCAACTTAATTTAGATCAGTGTTCAAAAAAATAAAACAATTAGATCCTTATAAAGCCAGGTTGTGCTACTACAACTTTTCAGAAATGACTTGAAAACACCCTCAAGATAACAGGTCAGTGTAGTGGGAGCTCACCGATGTACCAGATGGGCCAGTATGTGATGTTGTAATACCGGCTCAGCAGCTTCCCTGACCTTAAAGAGAAGTAAAAAATAATAAAAAAATAAAAAAAATTTAAAGCATCTGGCACAAGAAACGAAGAGGTGAAATATCCAGCATCTTCACAGCTACCGCTTACATTTCTGTGTAAATCATGCCGGCTAAAGAAACGTTGAGGACAGCCCAGGCAAGGATGATCTGCCGAGCCTGCTCCTCCCTCCTCATCCTCAGCGCCCTGTCAATCATGCCGGGCGTCCCGTCCTTCTGCGGAGTCAACATGATGCTCACACGCTGGGAGAGTTAGCACAAAGAAACACTTAATCAACTTAAGATTGAGCTCTACGCATGTAAAAATGAGATTATGAAAGTTGGAACTGAAATATCACTGCGTAGCCGGGTATTTAGAAAGAATTGTACGTGTTTGACACGGTCAGTGAGGTTAGCCGACATGCTAACAAGGGTTAGCTAAAGTTAGCAAGCTTACAAACTGTTTAAATGTTCAGATAACGTAGAAAAACAAAACCGGATAAATACTTGAAATTAATAGTTTTCAAACGAATAAAACGATAATGATGGTTTTAAAACTCATACCACGTTAAAGTGGACAACAACCGCGGCGCTGCATAGTTTGTATTTCCACCCGGAAGTTCTGACTATTACTTCCGGTGTCAAAACGCCGGCAAGCCGTGGGGATGGGGAGGAGCTTGTTCTGCAATTAGCGACTAAAAGGAAAATGACAAACAGTTTTTGTCCTTATTACACATTTGTCAGCACTTAATGACAAAAATAACTTACATCGCGCTGATAAGTTGTCCCTGGTTTAAAGCTAGCAAACGCGTTGTCCCCATTTAAAAGTAAGCTCCCCCTCCGCTTATCCCCGTGTCAAAGCCCGGTAGGTTGAAAAGGAACGCACCCACTGAACTTACCAGTGTTACCTGCAGAGGGCGCTGTTGCTGCGCTTCATGTGTGTGATAGTTTCAGACATGAAAATATAAATATCTAATAATTCAGTGCAAGTTTTGTGTTGCAATTTAGATTTGTTTATTCAATTGCTCACCAAATTTAAATGTATGTAAATGCAACCTTTTTGGAAAGTATTTAGCCTTTAAAGCATAGTTTTGTTTATCCTACATCTGTAAGTTAGTATTCAGGTTGCTTTACAGGCTTGTGCAATGACGATAAGGACAATTATATTCTAAATACCATTTTTAAAACATCAATGATGATGAAAGTTTGTTTCACGCGGAAAGTGATTGAGAAACAATAAGAAAAACCAACAAATTTTATCAAAATGTTTGTATTTATAACAATATATACACGTCAGACATGAAAAAAACTGTTTACAAACATCACAATGTATGTATTAAAAAAATTTGTAAGGTTATTTACGTCCTTGTTTTTGTTTTAAATGACTCAACAAATGGAATAGATTTGTATTAAATCAACCTAAGTCGTACATTGTTTTTGTAATTATTAAAATACAAAATTGGGAGTAAAAGTGATGTCGTTTTATATTTAAACTGCATCAGATTTTGTTTAAATTTTTATTTCTGTTCTATAACTAAAACACATCATCCATGTTACAGAGTATGGGAGAAACGTATAATAAACCGTTTAAAATAAAAAACTTCACAGAATTACAATAATTTTAAATTAGCAGCACCAATATTTATGAGAAACATGATCTTTTTTTTAAATAATAATAATGCAAAGTGCAGCATTTGTTTAAATAGGTCATATATGTTTTATAAAATAGTAAAAAGAGGTAAATGAGCTTCATGGTAAATAAATAGAGGCACAGTATCATCTATGAGAAGGTGACTGGGATTTTTCAGAGTTATAACGTCCAACGTCTAAACCACAGTCTTCATCATTAGCTGCATCTATCAGTTCTTCCTCACCTCTTCCTCCCTCTCTGCTTTCATCCTCCTCTTCCTCCTCCTCCTCATCTTCATCATCCTCCTCCTCCTCCTCTTCCTCCTCGACGTTCTGCTCCTTGCGACTCGTTCTCTCCATCTTAGGGCCCTTGCAGATCTTCAGGTGTCGCGTCAGGTGGTACTTGGTGAGGAAAGCTTTGTGGCATTTCTCACAGACGAAGTCTCTCCTGCCCTCGTGGGAGTTCAGGTGTTTCTTCAGGTGGTTGGTTTTCAGGAAGCGCTTGTCGCACTTGGGGCACTGAATCTGACTTTCACTGAGCAAGAAAAACAAGGAATAATCCTCAGGGGAAAAAATCACACTTTCTGAGCAAATTCAGAAGGAATACTGAGCGCTGATTGACTGTAGAGATTAGCTGAAGAAGCTGAAACTCAGTTGTTGAAGCTAGAGGAAGCAGAATACTAGCTAAAAGGAGCAAAACACTCGGTAAAAGAACAGCTAAATGTTGCAAAGGGGTACCTAAAAGCTATAGTAGTAAAAAGCTAGCTCAACTTAACAAAATGCTAACCTAAAAGTAGTACAATACTCTCAAAGGTAAAAGTAGCAACTATCTAAAAATGTATGAAGTCTACCTAAAAGCTAAAATTAGCAAACGGCTAACCTAAAGGTAATTATAAAAAGGTTAGCTAAAATCTAAAACTAGCTAAAGGCTAGCTAAAAATGAAAAGAATCAAAATGTTTTCTAAAAACCATAAATATCAAACGGTTAGCTAAAAGCTGAATGTGTCAAAAGTTAGCTAAACCCATAAGTATAAAAAGGCTAGTTAAATACTAGCTACAGGCTAAATGTAGCAAGAGGTTGCTAATACCTATTTAAAGCAAAAGGCTAGTTCAGATATACAAAGATAGCTGAAATGATCAAAAGGCAAGCTAAAAACTGGCTACAGGCTAGCTAAAAATGAAAAGAATCAAAATGTTTTCTAAAAACCATAAATATCAAAAGGTTAGCTAAAAGCTGAATAAGTCAAAAGTTAGTTAAACCCATAAGTATGAGAAGGCTAGTTAAATACTAGCTACATGCTAAATGTAGCAAGAGGTTGCTAATACCTATTTAAAGCAAAAGGCTAGTTAAGATATACAAAAAGATAGCTGAAATGATCAAAAGGCAAGCTAAAAACTGGCTACAGGCTAAATGTTGAAAGGGGTTGCTAAAAGCTAAAGTAGCATAAGGGTAGCTAAAACCTATATGTAGTTAAGGGCTAGCTAAGATAAATCAAAAGTGTAGCTTAAATTATCAAAAGGCTAGCTAAAAATGAAAAGAATCAAAATGTTTTCTAAAAACCATAAATATCAAAAGGTTAGCTAAAAGCTGAAAGTGTCAAATGTTAGCTAAACCTATAATATCAAAAGGCTAGTTAAATACTAAGCTACAGGCTAAATGTAGCAAGGGGGTTGCTAACATTTATTTAAAACAAAAGACTAGATAAATATACAAAAAAAATAGCTTAAATGATCAAAAGACTAGCTACAAAAAACTGTCAAAAGCGTTGTTAAAAACTAGCAACAGGCTAAATACAGCAAGGGGGTTGCTAAAAGCTAAAGTAGCAAGAGAGTAGTCAAAGGCTATATGTAGCAAATGGCTAGCCAAGAAGTATGAAAGGGTAGCTAAAATTAACAAAAGGCTAACTAAAAACTAAAGGGAGTAAAAGGTTATCTACAAGCTAAAAATAGCTGAAAGTTAGCTAATAGCCATAAGTAGCACAACACAAAAATAAACCAAGCTAGATTTAAAAAAACAATGTTTTTAAAAGACTTCATTGCATCTAGGTTGTGAATATCGCTGAATATCGTGATGCAGAAGTAGTCAGATCACAGAAATAATCTGTTTTAATCAGTWAAATCTGCCSYGTCAGCAGAACTCACTGCGTGTGGGAGAGCATGTGCTGCTTCAGGTCATATTTTCTGATGAACGTCCGCTCGCAGAGATCGCACTTCAGCTTCTCCGCTGCGGTGTGGATCAGCATGTGTGAAGCCAGGTGAGACTTCTGAGTGAACGACTTCTCACAAACCGTGCATTTGTAGTTTTTCTGACCTGGTAAAACAATAGAACAGAATAAATTAATCCTGAGTAAAAACCTGGAGCTGTGTGAGACCGAGCGAAGCGCAGACACCTGTGTGGATCTTCAGGTGCATCCTCAGGTTGCTGGGGTCGCTGAAGGCCTTGCTGCAGTACTCGCACTTGTGAGGCTTCATCCCGACGTGACCCATGAAGTGAACGTTGAGCTTGGAGGACGTGATGAAGGCCCGGGAACACATGCTGCACTGGTACTTCTTCTCCCGGACCGAACCCTGGCTTTTAGCTCTGGAGGCGACGCTGTTGGAGCTCCTGCTGCTGCTCGTTTGTCCTGCTGTGTGGTTGGTGCAGGGCCAAGGAGAGGAGGAGGAGGAGGAGCTGGAGGTCSCGTTGGGGAGCTTCTCCTCCTGGTGAACGTGTTGTGTTTGCTGCGGCTGCTGCTCCTGCTGAGGGGCTGCTTGCTGCTGCTGAGGCGGGCTGTGGTCGTGACCCGGCTGGTTGTGGTTGCTCAGGTGAGACTTCAGCTCAGAGAAGGAGGAGCATTCTTTACCGCACTGRCAGATCTGACCTTCAGGCACCTGAGGAACACCTGGGAGCAGGTGGGAAAGACCAGTCAGCGGTTTAAGATTTATACATTTTATCAACAGCTCATTATCGCCTGGGATTGTGTTGGAGTGTTTATATAGCTGCCTGTTAGCAAAATATCTCATCGATAAATTGGATGAAAATACGATGTACATCTACAACAGAGTCAACCAATTCAAGATGGCCGCTGCAACTCCATAACATTATCCACCATAAATATATTCAATACTTAATCAAGATAAAAGAAGCAAAACAGTAAAGGATAAAGAAAGCATAATGCTAACTTAAAGCAAAACGCTAAACAAACAAAGCAAAGCACTGACTAAAAAGATCAAAAGGCTAGCTAAAAGAATCAATACGATGACTTCAAGATGCAAAGTACTCACTTAAAGAAGTCAGAATTAGAAGCTAAAATACATTAAATAGCTACAAGAAGCAAAATATTAGCTAAAATAGCAAAAAGCTAGTTAAAATAAGCCTAAAAGAAGCAAAATACTAACTAAAAGCTTAAAATGCACAAAGCTAACTTCTAACTAAAAAAGCACTAGCTAAAGGCTAGCTAAAAGAAGCAACATGCTAA